TTCCTTGTGGGAAGGTAGGGTGCTCTACGGAGGTCAAGAAGGGCATCCAGTGCGACGCGTGCCACAGTTGGTTCCATCGCAAATGCAGCCAACTCAGCCAAGGCAGTCGGCATCTACTCGGAACATAAGTTCCTGAAATGGGCCTGTAGTGGATGCATGACATCCATTAAGAAGAAATCCAGTATCTCTCTCGTATCCTGCCCCACTTATGCAAATTGTACTGTAAAAGTAGAAAACGTTTAGCAGGCCCCGGGCAATGAGGTACAGGTGCTCAATTAGAATGCAGAGTCTAAGGTAATCTCACCACCCCTTAAGGCCCCAGGTGCAATACCAGGCAGGACTAATAATGGAAACGCCCATCCTGTTACTAACAAGACCGATGGCAAAAATAAGTTTATCATGGTAGGCTCGCCCAACCCCGATCAGCACCAATTATTAGTTCCACCCAAAGGTTCTAACTCACCTCCCATAAATCTTTCCAGGAAGGTTTGAAGCCCATGCAATAAGGCACCAGCATCGACATCCGAGTTGAACCGTAACAGACTCGACGATCACGAGGCTTCAATAAACCGACTAACCACAATCACTAACAAACTGAGAGGTGTCTTAAGAAAGCTAGAAGCGAACATGGACATAGCCTTCGGCAGAAACCGCAACGTGGTGATAGGGGTCTAGCTGAACCACGTTGTCGGGACACGCAAGCGCAAACAAGACCTACTCTACCAGGTACTTAATATCTTATGACTTGCTAATATCCCAGGGCATGTCCATACCAAGCGAATCCTGCGCCTGGGGAAATGGAGGAAAACCTTCCGCGTTGTCAGCATAGGTAACCCAAGGCCAATGCTGGTAGAATTCCAAAACCCTAGATACCGGGATGCCATGTAAGCTGCAGCAGGAAATGTGCAGCTCTTGACGAAGTGCAAGACCACCGTAGTCCCTGATTGTGCTAATAGCTGAAAGAGTGTAGCTTCTATGCCACCACCCCCACCAGACAGCGTCAGGCGACTGATCGTAAGGGTACAACCTTCCATTCCAAAGGTTTCACCGAGCCCTAAGTCCCGAATACCCGGGTCCTCTCCAAATTATTCAGCATTACTGTTCAACCATTCCGACACCGCAACAGCCACGCCGAATGCAGCGCCTTATACTGCTGTAACCTCCGCAGGAGTCCACATTGGAAGGACTCTACCACCAAGACAAAAAACTCGGCGGGCACCCGGGCATAAGCCCTGAGGGCAGTCTTCTACCGCTAAAAGAAAACATGGTGCAGACATTTGTTGTTCTCTACACCAATGTCCGCAACCTAGGGAACAAGTGGCCCGACATAGCATCAGAAGCAGGGACGGCCACTTGCATAGCAGTCACTGAAACTTCGTTGAAACCAGATTTCAACACCACAGGATTACACCCACCAGGTTTTTCGGCCTATCGATGTGATCGCACTGACGGTCGCATCGGTTGTGGTTGCCCAATGCTCGTAGCGGAACACCTAACACAAGAAGGCATAACCAACCCGGGGATAGCAAACATCCAATCCCCGTGTGCCTGCTAAAACAACCTCATACTGCAGTAGCAGTAGTTTGCACATACCGTAGTCCTCGGTCCTCCACAGAGGTGGATGACCAGTTAATTGCCCACCTCAGGCAAATAGCGGGACAAGCCAATATGGTTTTGCTTTCAGGCGACCTAGATGCTCCTGAGGTTGACTGGCCGACGAAAAACGCACCACCCAGAAGCTTCGGAGAAAAATTGCTTGACTTAATGCTCAACGCTGCTCTGATACAGCACATCAAGCGCCCAAAAAGATGGAAAATGGATAACCTACCCAACATCCTGGACCTAGCATTCACCAAATGAAATCGTGAACTTAGAACTAGGATCACCGCTAGGCAGGAGTGATCACGCAACTATTCGTTTCCGGTACTGTACTGTACGAGCTTCAAGGCTAGAACCCAGGCGCTGCTACAGAGCGTTAGACACTGAGGGTCTCCTCTTGGCCACGTCACAGCTGCAATGGCCGGAGGAAGCGACTGATGTCCGCGAGACTTGGGACCGAATTAAAATGAACCTCATTTCGTTGACCGACGCCTTTGCACCATTGCGTTTGTATGGTAGACCCAATCAGCCACGATGGTGGTTTCGACGGTTAGCTAAATTACTGGGTAGAAATCGGACAGCCTGGAAGAGATTCACCGACACCAACGGCCAATCGAGATACCTTCAGTACATAAAGGAGCGCATGACCTACGACAGGGCCCAGTCAGATTGAAAGAAACGCCATTAGCTCTTACTGGCAAAAAAGGGTAAGACGTGCCTGAAAGCATATTACGGTTATGTACAGTCTAAGGCGGCCGCTAGGGAAGCTATCGGATGCATCCGCGGCGCCGGTGGCAACTCCACGCTCCCTAGCTTAGGAAAGGCTTCCTCTCTACAAAATTGTTTTGAAGATTCGTGTACTGTGGACTTAGGCAATACCCCGCCGGCAAACAGTATCACTACGAGGCGCCCTATGGATGAACTCTTAATTGAACCACGGGAAGTCGAAAAAGATATCGAAGCGTTAGACAGAAACAAATCTGCTGGCCCAGATGACATACACCCGGCGATTCTAAAACCATTGAAGGGTGTCCTAGTACGCCCATCAGCAAGCCTATTTACCAAGTCACTCGAGACAGCTACCCTCCCAAGTAACTGGAAAGCGGCCATAGTCACCCCCATCTATAAGGGGGTGACAGAGATGCCGCCTCAAACTATAGGCCAGTGAGCTTGCTTTTAGTGGTACTAAAGATTATGGAGATGGTGATTCGTGACAGAATGACTAGTCATTTTACAGCGAACAACTTACTGATGGAAGCTCAGCATGGGTTCAGACGGGGTAGGCTCTGCCTAACAAACCTGTTAGCCTACTTGGATGTAGTGACGGACAGGCTTGACAGGGGTGAACGTTTTGAGGTGTGCTACCTAGATTTTAGGAAGGCCTTCGACTCAGTGAGTCATAGACTACTGCTGAAACTGTCACAGTTAGGAGTGCACTCCAAAATCCAAAATTGGCTGCGGAGTTACTTGGTAGGGTAGGTCAGGGTAGATGGGAAACTTTCGGAGGGAGGCCAGTACACAGCGGAGTGCCTCAAGGCTCCGTCCTTGGACCGTCGCTGTTCTTGGTCTTCGTCAACGACTTGGCACAGTGTGTGGCAAATCCACTGTTCTTGCTTGTCGATGATGCCAAAATCTTAATGTATATTTCACGAAACCCGTGAAGCATGCACAAGGCATGATCATATAATGGCCGGCTTCTTCTCGCTACGTACCATCAACAGCGAGCTGACAAATGAGATAATCAACTGAAAAACATGCTTGATGCATCTCGGGACACACTGTTTCCCGATTGTCCCTAGGAACCCCATCTCTGGGTTGTGCCGAATACTATAGCTGGTTCGTCAAAACCTTTACGAATATCGCTGAACCGTTATACGCCTTACTTAAGAAAATCGCTTCCGATGGACACCAGGAGCCCAGAATGCTTTCGATGAACTCCAAAGGATCATGGCGGATCAACACCTGAAACTGAAGTTGTCGGTGTTTTGCAAGTTCACAGTGGAAACGGATGCCAGTGACGTTGGAGTGGGAGCCGTACTCAAACAAGCAAGTGGAGTAGTTAAATACACAAACAGGGTCCTTACTCCAACAAAAAGGAAATATTCCACCACAGAAAAAGAATGTCTTGCAATCGTTTTGGTCGTAGATAAGTGGCGATCATACCCTCTGGGTCAAAGGTTCCATATGGAAGCAGACAACAAGCCGTTGGAGTGGATTGAAATCGCCAAGGACCCGAGAGTAAAACTAGCCCGATGGGCGCNCGATGGGCGCTTCACCTTCAGAAGTACGACTTCATGATCAATCATGTTGTAGTTGTCGAAAACTCTATGGCGGATACTTTGTCTCGTCAGGAGGAAGCAGATTCCTTCAGTGTCATTATACTGGTAGCGGGACAAGACCCGCACGAATTGGTGAAGAAGCAGCGGAATACCGAAACGCTCAACATAGTACACACATGAAGTCAAGGAAATCCGTATAGAAGCAGCTTTATTTGAATGCCGCTGGTATTTAATGAAACGACAGTCAGGAAGAAGGCGCCATGTGGTCGTCATTCCAAACCAGCAGGGTCAAATCCCATTAAAGAAAGTCATGAACTGGCCCACACTGGATGCGCTCGAACCTAAGATCTGCTTCGACAGTGGCTATATTGGCCAAATATACAAGATGAGGTGATAAACCAAGTGCTGGAATGTGAAAAATGCCAATTATTCAAGTCAGACTCCAGCCCATCACAGTGTTCTATTCAGTCAATACTAGTATCCGAGATCGGTGAGTTATGGTCCATCGACCTCATAGGTCCAATTACGATGTCCCCTAGAGGACACCAATACATCGTTGTAATGATAGGGCACTTCACGCGCTGGATTGAAGCCGTAAGAGTCGCGGATCGAAAAGCCGCTACGATAACCAGAGTTGTGATCGAGCATATTGTAGCGAATCATGGTATACCGTAAGCCATCCTTACAGATCAAGGCCCGTTTTTTTTAGAGTGATGAATTTTGCACGCGCTTACAGAAACTAAGCATCGAAACTATACGCATAACGCCCTATCAACCATAAACCAACGGTCTCAATGAACGCAATAACAGAAAAATCAAGAATGGCTGACAGCGAAAGGAGGGAATTGGGAGTCGGCCCTACCTTCACTACTTTTGGCCTACCGCTCGACCACGCAGGCCAGTACCAAACATACACCATTTCAACTGACGTATGGAAGAATTCCGAAGCTCCCAGTGGATCTAAACATTGGCATTTGACCGCGAAANTCGACGTTGGCATTTGGCCGCGAAACGATTTATCTCCGCAACAACTTCAAAAGAGAAGACTTGAAGCCGGGAATAACCTGAAGAAGGTGCGGGAGAATACAATGCGCAAGTCTAGGATACAAACTAAACGGACGGCTAGTGTGCTTCCGGTTGGATCTAAAGTAAAGTATAAGCAGCATGTTGGGGGATTCGCGAGCGGCCTTGGCTCGAGGAAATTAATTCCCAAATGGAAAGGTCGATACGGCATAGTTGAACAACGCCATCACGTGTACAAAATTCAACAGATGAACAAAGTCCTGTAGTGACCATGATTGTACGAAGAAAAGGAGCAATNAATTTCGCAACATGGCTCGAGGAAATGTACAGCACACGCCGTAAACCAACAAAAGAAATTCCAGAATCCAATTACACAAGGTAAAACATGACGCCCCCCAACGTCAAAAATCGGAGACAAACGCGATCACAATTCAATAAACAGTCATCCATTGATCAAGGCAGACAGAGATCCCTTCTACCCGGAGGG